CCATTTGAAAAGTGGTATATTATTTTCTCCCATCCATTTTATAGCCTCTTTTGAGGTATGGCACGCTGCACCATCTTGCTGAAACACAAAATCTTGGCCGGATATCAAACATTCTTCCATCACTGGTAAAAGCGATTCTTCTAAAATTGCCAAGTATTTGTTTGTATCAACATTTACATCAATAAAATGAAGTTTTCCTACTCCTTTTGATGACATACTGCCCCCGACCATAATGGATGCTGGAAATTTCACTTTTCTCTTCAGACAGTCAACATGGAATCCTTCATTTCTTTTGCGAATAACACTACTGCGACTGTCACCAACACAAACTTCGAATCGGGCCTCAACACTCCATTGTTGAGGTGTCCATTGTCTATGTTCTTTAGCCCATCTTAGCCGATTTTTCTTTGCAGTGGAATTAATAGTGGCTTTTCTTGGGCCTATAAACAAGTTGTGCAACTTTAGGGTTTTTAGTTCCATTTTTTTTATAAGAAAACTTACCTTGCAACAGCTAAATCTCAGTTTGTGGGCCTCTCTACGAGTTGTGGACCTCAAAATTCTCCTTCCAACAGTAACCGAATTTTCTCACTAATAACCTTTCCTCTACCCATTTTGAAAATTTTAACTACCCAAAACTATTTTAAACGTATTCTGACAGCTGTGATTAATAAAAACAATTGTCATGGCTTTTATTTTTCACAGCCACCTATGTGTTATGGACTTATTTTGCATTGAAATGAAAATAGGTTGATATGCTGTAATTACAACATGTGTTATTTTTATGCTGCACATTTGATTAGGGAGTGATATAGTTGGTGTTTTCTACTATTTGTTATCAAAATATTCATTGTTAGTATTTTAAGCCTATAACACCCTGCTACATTTTTATTATTTGTGTTTGATAAGAAAAAAACTAAGATTTCAATAGTTGGGCCAACTGAAGCGGGAAGGGGTTCGAAGATAGCACCTTGTGCTGGCTTATTTCGATAAGCAAGTAAAGCTTTCCAAATGTGATTGAAGATTATGCAAAGTCAAATTAGTTGACGCAAAGGTAAAAGAAGAGGGAAGTATCTACAGCGAACGTCAGCTTAACGAAAGCAGCTCTATGCTAAGCGAAATTGACGATTACCGTACAAAAAAAAAACTGGCGTTAAAATACCAGGAAAATAGAAAACATAACCTATTTACAAGGTGTAAAGTTAATAGTGGATCAACGGAAGTCAGGTGATAGAGCGCCTCAAAAAATATCTAATGAATCCCTATATGTGTGATCCGAAATTATATAGTTCAGGAGATATTTGCAAATTTTTGAAATTTTGAAAAAACGGGATAAGAAACTTTCAGTCGCAATTACAAATAAACCATTAGGTTTAGGGCTATATTTTTTTGAGATGAGCTACGTGGATAGCTCTAGCAATGGTTATGTCTTGAACTTTTGTAATTGATTTCGATTGACTCAGGTACTTCGTTAGATTCTAGCGGCGCAATAAACACTTGCCTCCTGACGCTCAGTATGTGACTGTACGAGGGATGTCTTTTAAGCTTTGTATATAGAAACATAGTAGGCCGCGCAGATCGAACGTCAGTACTGAATCTTAACCTCACTCTTTAGTAAACTTAAATTCAAAGTTTCACAACAATACGTACAGTGTTCCCACTACAGTGAATTTTTAAGTGTCACCAAGTCATTAGAAAAATGGAACTCAACCGAGAAGATTTTCACGCCATAATTTATTACAACTTTCAGAGGCAATTATCGCAACAAGAATGCCTTGCTGAGTTACTGTCTGTTTTCGGCAATGAAGCACCACATCAGTCAACAATTTCCCGTTGGTATCGAGAATTCAAATGTGGACGGGTGTGTCTTAGCGACGATCCCAGGGTGGGTGCACCAAAAACGGCAGTCACCCAGGAAAATGTCGATGCTGTGCGCAAACTCATCATTGAAGATAGACATGTGACATATCGCGAGATTGAGGCGTCCTTGAAGATCTCAAAGACCACAATTCAAAAAATTTTACATGAAGAATTAGGAGTAAGAAAATTAGTTTCTCGTTGGATACCCCACCTGTTGACTGAAGAGCAGAAAGCAGCCAGGGTTAATTGGTGTCAAAAAACGCTTGACCGTTTCAATTCTGGAAACTCAAAAAATATTTACAGCACTGTTAGTGGTGATAAATCGTGGATTTACTGTTATGCACCAGAAAATAAACGACAGTCGGCTGTTTGGGTGTTCAAAGGTGAAGAAAAGCCAACAAAAGGCATCCGTTCTCGATGTGTTTCGAAAAAGATGGTAGCGACATTTGTGTCATATTGCAACTATTTCTCTTAATGAGCAAAGAACTGTTTCTGGGGATTGGTATACCAAAATTCGTTTGCCAAAAGTCATCACCGAGCCTCGAAAAACCACCCCCCAAAGAAGAATCATCCTCCAAAAAGACAATGCAAGCTCGCACACAGCCCAAAAAACAAGGCGGTATTTAACGGAAGAAAACGTCGAATTATTGGGCCATCCTCCATATAGTCCCGATCTAAGCCCTAACAATTTCTTTACTTTCCAGAAAATTAAAAACAGACTACGTGATCAAAGATTCCATTCACCAGAAGAAGCAGTTGACGCATTTAAAAATGCCATTTTAGATCTGCCAGCAAACGAGTGGAATAAGTGCTTCGAAAATTGGTTCGAGCGCATGCAGATGTGTATTAATCTTCGTGGAGAATATTTCGAAAAACAATAAAGTCATTTAAAAAACTTAAAAGGCATCTCTCGTATTCTGACATGGATGCTCCAATTCTCAAAAATGATATAGGAGATAGTAGTGTGAAACCTAGCTGTTGGATTTGCTCTTTTAAAACTGTGTGTGGGATTGTTGAACACACGTTCGACAACAACGACCTATCTGATGGTGTTACCAGTTTTCGAGCCTTAATTGTTTTTCCTAGGTTCTCCAGGAAGCGATTGACAAGGTCTTTTTTTGATAAGCATATGCAAATCCTATTGTTTGATATCCTAGAGCAGAACAGAATGTTCTTCGGATCTACGATAGGACCTAACTGTGGTAAGTAATACTGTATTTTTGCTCCATGTATGGAGTTGCTAATTATAGCTTGTTTTTTGTTTGGATGTCTATATGTTGATAATATAGTGGAGTAGCATGTGGGTCGGTTAAGTTGAGTTGATGCCATTGCTGTTATGGTTTTATTTCTGCGCAGCTAAATCTCATTGCTAAGTACGGACCTGTCTTGTTGGCCTGCCGATTTTGGTGACTTGTTGTTTGGATGATCGGAATTTATCTTCGCTGCTGATGTTAATTCGTCTAATTTATACGCTATATCTGTGCAATGTGGAAAATACTTCTCAATTATACTTCGGAACGCTTTAAATTGGTTAATTGTATGAGCCCACTATCTATTCAGCTAACTGATAGGGTAGCAGGACCGAATTTCCAGGATGTACATACGGATGTTCGAAGCCGCATGTATGTTTAATCCGATGGTGCCCCATGCCACTTTGCACGGGATGTACGGCATTACTTAGGCAGTGCCTTTTCTGGGTGCTGGATAGGTAGAGGTGGACACATACGATGGCCTCCAAGCTCACCCGACTTAAATCCTCTAGGTTTTTTTATATGGGGGTTTTATAAAGGGATAATCTATATATCTACAAATGTCAACCAACTGCGTCAAAAAATTGATGAGGCAAAAATAAAAGTTATGGAAAACGAAAATTCATTTCAAAGACTAAAGACTATATTAGAAGGTGTCTCTCTTGTATAGAAAATAATGGAAGCCATTTTGAACAGTTCTTTAAAGGTTAGTTAAATTATCTTTCACACTTGTCGGTAAATCGCCATAAAAAGCGGCTAAACACCATATGTTCTGTACTTGTAGGTGGTAAGGATTCTATTGGGTTCTTTACGTTTATCGCATCGCAACAACGAATGTGACATGATACACCCATCGTAGCAAGGTGAAATTTTCAGTGTTTATTCTACATGGATTGAAATAGTTTTTACAATAAAATGAATATTGAAATACTACCTAAATTTTTTTCACCGCCCTTCAACGTTGAAGATTTTTCACAAAAAAATTAGTTTAAGATTTTTTGCGTTGATTTCTAATAGGCTCTGTTGAAAAGTGACATCACCATTGCTAAAACTAGCGTTATAGCTCATCTCAGAAAAAAAATCACAACCCTAAAAAATGGTTTTGTTGTAATTGCGATTGAAAGTTCATTATCCCGTTTCTTTCGAAATTTCGCAAAATTGCAAATAGCTCCTGCTCTATAAAATTTCGAACCACACATATAGGGGTTGATTTGATATGTTTTGAGGCGCTCTATCAGCTGATCCACTACTAATTTCATACGCTGTATATACCATATATAATCAAAATCCCATTTACCCTAAGGGAAAATAGAACAAGGCCCCGGCATTTTGAGTTGTTGAATAATTTCTGGAACAAATATAAACCCTTTGTTAAAAGAATTTGCTGGAATCATGATGGCATTGCTTGAAACTTTAAGTTCTGTGTTACATAAACCTATAGGAATAAGCTAATAGAATCGATATCATTTTGTTAGAGGTAACAAATATTTAGGTCACAGGGTGATGATTCTGATAAAATACAGAAGGCTAAAACATGTGACACTGGTTCTTCTAACCGACGACGGTCCAGTTTCGGATTACTCCTAGGAAACTCCAACATCGTATAAAATTGGTTAAGCTCCGTTCACTTGCACTTAAGGCATCCCGTTTTAAATGCTTATGGCCGATTGCACCAATATTTTCTTAAGTATAGAATTACAAAGGAGACATTAAAATTTGGTGATCGCCTAAAATCTTCTGGGTTGCACCAACACATTCTGGGGTTTCCTCATATTTCATTAACTAAGCTTTCCTTAAACTTGACAGCTCCATAGGAAGCTAGTGATTTTGTCATGTTATGATGCAGTTGTCTGCCCTGCCTGAAAATAGTAGATGTTTTGTGCTGAAAATGACATTTCACATGATTTCACATATCCACATTGAGGTTATGTTGTAACATAAGGTGGTGCTGCAATTTTTTGAAGAATTTTTTATTTTTGCAAAGTTTTATATTGTGGATTATGAGTGCCGCCGAAAAAAGGAAAAGGGGTGACAATTTTACAACAAGTGAAACTAGAGTACTTCTATCTATAATTACGGAATTTAAAGGGATCATGGAAAATAAAAAAACTGATGGTGTTTCTGTACAAGAAAAGAACCAGGCGTGGAGTAAAATTACTGCGAAATTTAATGCAGCTTGCCTTGAAGGGAGGCATCGAACAATGGACTCCTTGAAAAAGTTATTTGACAATAAAAAAAGGGAGCTGCGGAAACCGCAGGCAGAAATACTTAAAACTGGTGGTGGGCCTTCACAGAGAACTGGTAATACATCCCAAGGTTTACTCTTTTCCATAGTGGATCCACTCACTGTTGTTGGTGGAACAACTTCATATGGGTCAGGCAGCAGCTTTCTGCTTTATGAGAAAAATCAAGACCCCTTGGAATATAAAGTAAAGGCCATTGAACATGTTGGTCCCAATGAAAATCAAAAGGAAAACGAAATGAATATGTTTGATGATCAGGTAAATGCAACCATTAAGTTATTAATCGATCATATTTATATATTTATCATGTTGAGTCACATTTTACAGTTAGCAAATTTCTGATCATGTTCAGATATAGCTTAAAAAATATTATAATAGGATCAACGATACCAAATTCTGATCAAATGACTGTTCAGTTTTTTGATTTGGTTAGGGCATAGTAACAGGTCTTTTGAAAGGGATCCAAAGTATTGAAATGTCCTGTCCTTTCTTAATGTTTTTCATTCTGTATATTCTTTATTTTTAATATATGAGGAAATACATTCTACTTTATTTAATTTTGAATGTTGAAGTTGGTGGAAATATTGTGTGATATTCATAATTGTGACTGAATCGTTGTAGAGTTACATTCAGTAAGCAGGAACCAACAGATCAATGTAGAGATATTCATTTTTGCTTACAACTGTTTTCCATAATAAATTACTAATTCTTATATTTTTAAGATCATCACTGAATCATCACAATTGATGGAAGACGGGAATCAAGAAAACACATCCAGGAGTATGGCAGATATATCAAGGGGATGGAAGAAAGGGTCAGATTTGAAAAAACCTGTTTCAGCACAATTGAGGCGATCTATCAGTAAAGTGAGTAACTGTATGATAAAGTATTCTTTGTTTACTACATATATCTTGTACAATAACATACATTCACAGTTTTGAATAGTTCCACTATATGTTTCAACCTTTTTAGCCAGCACAAAGTGATAAGGCTGAAAGCCAAGCAAGCAAACGTGCTAATACCTGCAAGCCATCAAATCGTAGAAGACCTACTGAGACAGTCATAAGGTCACTATCAACAAACCAGCTCGCTGAAAAATACAACTTGTTGGTTGATAAAAAGAATGTTATTGCAGACCATGCTCAGAAGAAGCTCGAACAAGAATTGAACATGAATTAAGGGTACAAGCGTTAAAATATGACAGAAATTAAAAAGAGGCAATTAGACTCACTAAGGCCCGAGGGAGAATGACACCTGATTTCCAAGACTATTTTATTTAATGGTTTGCTGTTTTTTTTTGTATTCTATACCTGTTTTTTTTAATTAGATTTAACTCTTAAGTACCAAAGTGTTATTTTTGTTACATAAGTACAGATATGACTAGGCTAGACCACAACAATTTTACTAATCAAGAATAGTTGTTTCTTCATATTCTACTAAAACAAATGTTGCAATGTCTTAATATATTGTTATTTTGAAAATAAAACAAAATTTACATTTACTACTAATCATAAATATTAATATTGGTCATAATTTTTGGAAATATAAAACTGTCTATCAGACCATACATTGGTACTTAAGAGGCTAATCACTAATGTACTTATTTCCTTGGAAGTTTTTAAGTTGTAGCATTTGGCTAGTCAAATCACTACTATACTGTGATATTTTCAAAATATATTATTGTTTTGTTTTTTGATTAAAGTGTTTATACTTTAGTTTTGTTTGAAGACTGTAGTTTGTGATAGTTTTGTTTGAAGGCGATAGTTGTGATGTAAAAACAATAAAAGGGAAAATATAACAAAAATATTTTATTCCTCGCATTATAGCTCGAGAAAAAGAAACATTCAAAAATTTCCAAAACAATTAATCATTTATTCTTGCAGTATTGACATTGTGATTCTTAATTGTAGGCATTTCAATATCCTGTGTTACAATTAAATAATTGATTTTGGACATAACTTGGGAATAAGCTGGCTATAGTTCTTAATACCCTTCCAACAATTCTGCAGGCTGTGCTTGCATGCATTCCTATAAAATAAGCAGTTTGCCTAATATGACCTGCACTGGCATAGTACCTTAAGCAGCATAGAAGCTGATTCATTGGTGAAATGCTGTGATTCCTAAAATGAATGCATTCATATAGATATTTGTCTTAGAAGTGGGTCAACATATATACCTGTCTAATTGAGATCATCTATTTGCAATAATACATGCAACACTGTTTCCTTGTATAACCAGAACCTTCTGAAAAAAACCAGTGGATCCATTTCTTCAGAGTAATTTGGCCGACTATAAGTGCGCCTGGGTAGTCCCATCACAATAATATCTACCAGCTCTACATCATCATCCAGAATATCTGGTAAGTCGCCCAAATAATCCAAATATGAGTACTCCATTGTAACTCACACGAACACAATACAACCTTAATAGGGTGACATCTACAGTTTACAGCCCAAGGACCTGTTTGAGGTATCACATCAAATATAAAATGGAGTCGATCAAGAAACAAGTCAATAACACCAAAAAGGCCTTCCTCAGAAAGCACTTCTACACCACACAGAGGAAAATATACAATAGAATTGTTTTGGTATTTGACAAAACTATTTGGTTATGTTTTCCCACGCACGATTGCCACGTTGCAGGTCCAACGACAATCATTTCGCCGGTTGGTAGGAGAAATGTCGACAAAATCACCAAGTATATCTCTTCTATCACAGTACTTGGGATCAGTGTAGTCAAAAATAGTCCCAGTTTGGTTTAGTTGCCAGAAAAATAACTAGTTGTATAGTCAAAAAACAGTTGCTAAGTATAAAGAAAATCACCAATATGGTGACAAATCTTCAAGCCTGGCAACCATGTACCACACTGTGCGCTAAGTACCGTTTAAGTGATCGTTAGCTGTCACTTAACTAAGGACAGTTTAATCGGAGAATAATCCTCACTTTTCGTTGGTGCAACCGAAAATGTGCCTTTAGGGATTGCTTAAAGTTAAGAAACGAATAAGTTATCCGTAAAGTCGTTGGTGCAATCGGCCATTAGTATATTCTAATAGAACTAGTTTTCAGAATGAGCTAAAAGCCCTGTTCGTACAGCTGTCACCAACCTGTCAGTGATCGTGTCCAAGATCCCACTACACAAATTCCGTTCATTCTGCCACGCTGTTCAGACAGAATACAGGCGGCCAGATCCCAGACACAGTCGTCAACAAGTGACCGACCACTGAACAAACCAAAAAACTACAAATACATTTACATTTAGATATAAAAAGGAGCAGTACCATGTTACATAGTTCACTCCTGAACGGAAAACCCTGTATAGCTGATGAAACGGTTCCACGTTAGGCTCACTTATGTATCATTTTTAATCAAGGTATAAAGTGTACTTGCCTGAAACATATAGGTGTAAGCTTGTTAGCTTTGATGAAAGTTCTCCGAAGGGACGAAAAGGCGTGACAGCAAAATCCAAAATAAGCCCATCCCACACGTGTTAGCTGACGTGAAAGCTGACAAATTTCCGCACAACAATTAAAGTCTTGTCTTCTGCTCGATAATAAAGTGTGGAAAAAATTTAAGCAGCGCGTCGACTACGACTTTTTTCGACGAGTTATTCATACGATGCCTTGTATGATTCAGGTAACATTAAATGGCAGGTGCTCTAACTAGCGTATTTTGAATTCACGCACTTCGTAGTACTTTCGTGTTATGTTCTCAGTTCCGGTAGAAATGCCCACTCATTTTTGAGCATACAAATGATAGGACAAATATATACTCAATGACATTGGAAGTGTTACACATAAAATAATTTCTTCAGCTTGTTTTTTGGCAACATAAAAATGACATTTAAAGCATGCTGTGACAACAATGTCCACGGTTCATCTTTATGTTTACCTTTGTTAAAATGTAATCTCTTAGTTTTTGTGAGGAAAACAGTTTCTAAGAGCCCAGTCAGTAGTACAGGTTAGTAATTTCCCTTTTATTTACTAGTGTTAAGTATAACAAAATTCCTGGGGTTTGTAGATGTCCAAATTATGACCATGTTAGCGACTTTGACAGGGGTAGAATTACTGCCTATCGAGATGTAGGTCCTATAGCGAAATTGGCCGCCATGTTAACTTTACTGCAATGACTGTAATGGGTGTGTGTCGTGTGTGGATAGATGAAAGTAGAGGAACACAAACCTTTTTGCTACTACGTGTCAGATCGCTGACCAACGGATTGGAGAAGAAGGTACACCTGTTACTAGGCGTAAACTCAATCGCCGTATTCGAGCGTTTGGACTTACTTCATACCATCCACGGTTAGTGCTTCCTCTGACTGCGGACCACTGTCGTCAATGTTTGAAATGGAGCAGAGAAGGATAACATTGGGAGGCAGAATGGTATAATGTCATCTTCAGCGACGAATCCAGTTACTGTCTAGGTACGCACGATGGTCGTAGGAGGGCAAGACACTGCCGTGGAGGACGGCGTCATATTGCTGTTGAGAGGCATGTACACAGGACTGTTGGAGTAATGGCTTGGGGGGCTATTAGTTATGGTAGTCGATCACCCCTTTTCTACGGTCAAGGCAATGTGACTGCTACGCGTTGTGTTGATGATGTTCTACGAACCACTTCACTGCCGTATGTAGAGGGCCGTCCACACGTCCTTTTTCAGCAAGGCAACGCACTTCTCCATATTGTCCCTCGTACTACGGACTTTCTTCAAGAAGCAGCCGTTAATGTATGGCCTTGGCTACCCCGTTCACTGGACTCAAATTCCATCAAACATGTGTGACATATGATGGGGAGGAGACTATACATCTGCCATAGCTGATCCACGAGGTTCGAGTTGCTTGTAATGAGGTGCCACAACCAAACATCGATCATCTCATTTTGTCGATGCCTAGACGCATACAGGAGTGTATTCAGCTGCGGGGTCGCCCAACACATTATCGATTTATTATTTTTTATTACTTGTCAATAAAATTTTGTGAGAACGTCGTTTCATTATTGATGTAAGTCTACCTCATTGCCAAAAAATGTTGAAGAAATTATTTTTTCTGGGTATCACTGTAAGAGTCTAGACGTTGTTCAAAAGTTTTCTAGTGATGAATATTCAAGTATCAAAGGTAGAGCATCTTCCGTCATCCGTTTTTGATGCAAATTCCATGATGCATGGGTCGAGGGATTAAATATCGCAAACGTAGGTATCAGGGTATTTCAACAGTCGTCCGTACTATACTATCGTATTTAGGTAAAAGGCGCTAAAGTGTGAGAATCGTGGTCTGAGAAAGTTGGGTTTAAAATCCTGGAGTCTAACGACACAACACAGGTGAAAGAATACTGACTTTCTAGTCAGTTAAGTTTTAGTTCGGATCATAATTAATCGATCAAACGAACTTACCTTAAGTGAAGTTCGATCGTAATTGTACGAGGGTCCAGTCCGAAGACATCACTTTGTTTATTTACTATGTAGTCCGGCCGCACACCAAGTTAAAAGACTAGAGATCCCCGCTCCCGTCCCGTCGCGCCCCGGTCTTGCACGTTGAGTTATTTGTTAAAAGAAATGGTACTTGCTCGCAACTTGGGAGGGTTGAAAAAAGGGGTGGGAGTGATGTCTTCGGACTGAACCCTCGTATAATTACGATCGAACTTCTCTTAAGGTAAGTTTGTTTGATCGACTAATTATACTTTAGGTCCAGTCCGAAGACATCACTTTGTTTATTTACTATGTAGATGTTTAAAGATAGAACACAGTTGCGAGCGATCTGATGGTGGAATCAAAGTGTTCCGAAACAACAAAACCATATATTCAGTATTCCTATGTAACAAACATAAAATAAATTCTCAAATTGTAACCTAAATATTACGTTGATTTGAGAAACATCTAAAACATAGGAAACATGTAACAAACTCTTAAGAGTATTAGAACCTAACTATTCAGACCAATTTTATATCTAGGACTGCATTTGCAAACTCATTGTTTGCTTGTAGAGGACGATTATAAAATCTTGCAAACGTGGAACGTTGCGTCCAACCAACTGTTTTACATATATTATCTACGGAAACGCCTTTTCTTAACGCCGCAGAAGTCGGCGCATGCCTTACTGAATGAGGCGTAAAAAGTGTTGTGTCTACTCCTGCATAGACAGGGGTCTGTTTTACCCATCTGCTTAAAGTGTCTTTAGACGCCCTGCCATGGGGTTTTTTCCATGTCACAAATAGGAAATCGTCATTGGGTTCTCTTAAAGGAGCCGTTCTATCAATGTATTCTTTCAGGATTGTGGCCACGCAAAGAAAGGGGTTTTGTTGAAAAATCGGGATGTGCAGAGTGGGTTGAGGTTTTCCAAGTCTACTTGTTTTAATTGGACCCGATATATTAATAGTTGATTCACTGTGACCATGGATTATATTTGAGAGACGTATAAGAGATATCGTCTGGAGTCTTTCTCCTGTTATCAGGGCTAATAACGTCGTTAATTTCTGACACTGACAGAGTTTGAAGACTAAGCGGTGATGATAACTTCTCTAAATAATTTAGAAGGGGTATAGGGTCCCAGGTGGCAGTATACTTTGGTCGTAAAGGCCGTAAGCGAGAGATGCCTTTGTAGCTATGGCCGATTCAGGAACATCTCTACTCAAAAAAGCCTGCCTGATAACTTCGCTGCCGCCAGGGTAAGCGTTTTCGACAGTGGATGTAACCTAAAAACCGGAGAAGAGAGTAATTTAAGTGAAGGGTGAAAATATATTGGTTGCGAAGGCCACCAAGGTACCACTAAGATTCCGACAACCTTATCCTGAATGATTTTTTGTAGAGGTCGAAGAATTAATGTGAATGGGGGAAATGCGTAAAAATAAAATCTATTCCAGGGAATCGTAAACGCGTCAATATATGCAGATCCTGGATCTCTATGCCAGGAGACATATAACTTGCATTTAGCATTTGTATGGGAAGCAAAAAGATCAATTTCTAGGTTTCCGAAAACGGTTGAAGGCGGTTTGACATAACGACGATTCCGTTTTAAAATTCGAACTCCTAGACTCGGTGTCTGCTACAACATTATCCTTTGAAGGGATGTATGAAGCGAAGAGCCAGAGGTTCATTTGCTCACACCATTGCCAAATTTGTTTAAACAACGAACAGAGGTCTGGGAATTGAACACTCCCCTTTCTGTTGATGTATGAAACAGTGTCGTGTTGTCACATCTAATTAGAATATTGCAGTTTTTCAAATTTCTGGCATAGCACTGAATCCCGTACAAAATAGCCCATAACTCCAAATTATTTATATGTAACCGTTTTTG